TCTATGTTTCCTGGTAAAATACATGGGAAATTCCATTGGAGGAAAATTCCACTTAGGGTTAGGTCATCATGCCTCTTTCTGCAGCCATGCAACCTCCTGGTGACCAATGGATCTGCTTTCCATTCGTTTTCTGTCCTGCAGAAATCAACTTACTTCTTCTTTTAGCCATTCGTATTCTTTAATCTCCCTGCGGCTGATCTTGTCAATATGCTTAACAGCATTCTGTGAAAATAATCCAAATACACCAAAAATCAAAACTGTAATCTTTGCATTGATAGAAACAAGACAGAAAAGTTAAGACAGGATGCCACAGGTATATATCAGAAACGTCACTCCACTCTGTCCGTTTTGTTTTTCTGCAGCTATTAATTTAGCAGCTAATGATATGTTGTACACGTGAGTCCTCAAATTATGACTGTAATGGAGCCTGCCCATCATAGTCGTAAATCATGATAGTCCTAAATTGGCTTGCCCACATGACCAACCTGATTTTACAACCATTTTTGTAGTGGTTGTTAAGCCAACACTGAGGTTGTGAGGTGATTGTTGCAGTCATTAAGTAAACAATGCAGTCATCAAGCAAACCAATGTTTGCTCTGGACTGGTTTTGCTGAACCCACAAAGTAAATGTCAGTCACTGGCAAAACCATCATAAAATGTGATTGCTAAGCACCAGAAATATGATCAAATGACTATGGGAGGATCAGATGCTGAAGCTTTGGAACTGGGGGAGAGGTTTGTCATAATTTTGAACAGTTGTAAGTTGAGAACTACTTGTATAAAAGCATTATAATGTTCTAGATTAGAATAATGTATCTATACTATCCACAGTACATTCAACAACATCAGCTACTGAAAAGGAATTTGGTAGTGTCTTTTCCAGGTAACAAATGTTCTTAAAAGACACAAGTTTTTATGTTGCAATCTTTTTTATATGACTATTAATAAAATTTTATTAAATGGTACCACTTGATTCCTCCTGATTTTCGCACCGTACTGAAGCTAAACATAACATGTAAACTAAGAGGATAAAAGAACTGCTAAGAAGAATTGTTTTGCTAAGTGGCTGGAATGTGATTGTGTGACTGCAGGCACGGTGCGGTAATTGTAACTTTGAGGACAGGTCATAAGTTTTTTGTTTTAGTCCATTATAACCTTGAATAGATGCTAAGTGACCAGTCATAAGTCGAAGCTTCTGTATGCCATCCTTTTCTATTTCTCCCTCCTGTGTTGAGATTTCACATCCCAGAATTCATCAGTGTGACTGGGGCATTCTGGGAAATTTCCAATATATTGGGCAGGAGCTAACTCTGAAAAACCAGATCAGGAGATGCGTCTGAGCGTCTGGAATAGCAAAATCAAACATACCTCAGTGGCCCATTCTTTCTTTAACTCCAACTGTCTCAAAGTGTTTTTGTCAATTCTATCCTTTGCTTCTTCCAAAGAAATTCTAAAAAATTCTTATAAAGGGAGAAGAGGGTGGTTAGGAGATGGAACATGCATAAAAAAGATCTACGGTCAAGCCTTTTTAAGATGCCATCCAGAATGTAAGTTATTCCAGAATTAAAGACAGCAATTCTGGTTTCTCTCAACTTTGTGTTACCATATAATTCAATGTTACTTGAGCAATGATTGTACAGTCTCTCTAAAAAAATGAAGTGCAATTTTTTTGCTTTTTTGGCCAATGCACAAAGCTTTCTTCAACTAGTGTTTCCAGATGTTTTCTTTCCGCTGTTCCCAGAGTTTCCCACCAGCACGGCCAAGAGGAATACAGGCTCCTGAAACATCTGGAAGACGCTATGTTGATTCAGCCCTGTGGTTCCATCTGTCCTGAGTTTCTCCAACTTAACATCTGGAAATAATTAGGAATGGGAACTTCTTGACATTACACTGAATCGGCCAACTGGCAATACAGAAATAAGTGGGATGAGGATCTGTTCGGATATTAAATTTAGCAGCTGGAACAGTGGAGTGTACAAAGATCCAGGACACACAGTGGTAGTTGATTGGTTGGAGAGTGCTGACTCCTGGATGAGGCAATCTACGCTATGATTGGTTGCTGTGAGTGTAAAGGGGGAGTTTCACTTTCCCCCCCGCCTTTTTCTTCTATGTGCTTCCCCCCCCCCCCGCCTTTTTCTTCAGCGTGCTCTGTATGCTTTAGGACTAACACAGTGTTTCTCAACCTTGACAATTTTAAGGCATGTGGACTTCAACTCCCAGAATTCCACTCCCAGAAGTCCACATGCCTTAAAATTGTCAAGGTTGAGAAACACTGCTAGGACTAACAGAATATGAATGACCTGCTCAAAGAGCCAATCATCACTCTTTCTCTCAGTCCCACCTACTCTATTAGGTTCTTGAGGGGAGAAAACTGAAGAAGGATGTTTGATGAATGTATATCATCTTTTACTGCTAAAGAAAAAGCGGGATATAAATTTAAAAATGCAAAAACGCTCTCCTCCATGTCTGTAGGGCAGTGGTGGTGAACCTATGGCACGGGTGCCAGAGGCGGCACTCAGAGCCCTCTCTGTGGGCACGCGCGCCGTCGCCCCAGTCCTAGGCCTTCAGCTGGGTTTTATAAAACCTTTTCACTTTAGGTCTCCGCAGCCATGTGCAAAAAAAAAAAAAAAAAAAGGTTCAATCAGTCAATTTCAACTTCTCACGGGAAAAAAAAGATCTTGCAAAGTTGGAATTGATTGATTGAACTTTTTAGTCCCACCTATCTGCCCTTACCACCGCAGCCACATCCACCCAATGGGCCACACACCCCCAATTGACCACACCCAGCCAATGGGCCACACCCAACCAATGGGCCACACCCACCTGGCACTTGACAATGCATAAGTGGGTTTTGGGTTGCAGTTTGGGCTCTCGGTCTCTAAAAGGTTCGCCATCACTGCTGTAGGGTATAAACTAGTGGTGCCAAGGCTATTAGGTGTATCAAATTCTATTTGGAATGAAGATAATTCCAGGAGCGCTTTGGAGCTTCTGAAAATAGCCTCCTCTTCTCTTAAGATCACATGGCAGTTGTGAGGGAGTTTTTACACAGCCCTGTTTGCTACAATTGCAGGTATGTAAGTATCACCACCCAATGCCTACCTCGGAAATTGGGTATGTAATTAGACTGAGATGAACATGGCAATTCACTATGCCCACATTTGATCTCAGTCTGGAATTAAAGAGAATCAACAGAAATGGAATGATGGTGATAGCTTGTCCTAAAGGTGTTTTTTTCAAAAGTCAACTGGACTTTCTTTGTTTTTGTGCTTGAAGAAGTTTCGCTTCTCATCCAAGACGCTTCTTTGGTTCTGACTAAATGGTGGGGAATGAAAGGATTTATACTCCTCCAGACAGCTGGTTGTTAGCACTTTGAAGTTGGGTCATTAGCTCTCTGAGAATCGTTGAGGCCACTTGGGGGTTTATCTGTACCCTCAGGGTCACCTGGATCAGAGTGCAAATGGGTGTGGACCCTTCTTGGAATCGCTGAAAGGACTGTGTTGTAAACGGGATAGGTGGTGCCATATCCCTCCCTTTCTGTTGATAGAGAGCTGCTCAATTTTAATATAGATGGTTTCTTTTACCCCTCTTTCAAACCAGTGGTCTTCTCTGTCTAGACCAGGGGTAGTCAACCTTGGCTCTTTTATGACTTGTGGACTTCAACTCCCAGAATTCCTGAGCCAGCTAAGCTGGCTCAGGAATTCTGGGAATTGAACTCCACGAGTCATAAAAGAGCCAAGGTTGACTACCCCCGGTCTACACTCTAGAATGTGGACTTTGCTATCTTCAACGATAAACCCCCAATTGGCCTCAATGACTGTCAGAAAGCTGACAACTGACCTTCAGAGTGCTAATGCCCAGATGACTACAAAGAATATAAATCCTTCCATTCCCCACCCACTCAGTCAGAACCGAGGAGGCTTCTAGGATGAGAAGTGAAATGTCTTCAAGCAAACAAAGAAACTGCAGTTGCCTTTTGAAAAAGCACTTGTGGGATAGCCATGACCTGGATGACTAAGAATCTCCATTGACACGGTGATAGCTTGAAACCAACTTCTTAGTAGGCCCCTAACAGACCCTTACCTGTCATTTCGTCAAGATCTTCCTTCAACTTTTTAATATCCTGTTCCAAGAACTGAATCTGAGTTGAGTGTTCGTTGCTTCCCACATTTTTGTAGGCAGTCCAGTAGTCTATTTCAGTTTGTTTTTGGATAAGTTTCTGTTCAACATAATGTATCTGGAAACGCGTATCTAGTGCAAGGCAACAAGGCATCATTTTCAGTACAGTTATAGTATGAATAACAGTGGTTGCTTCACAGAACTATTGACAAATACAGGGAGACCTGTATTTACGGTATATTAGAACTCAATGTACCGACTTCCCAAACCAATTAACATCACAAGTATCATGACTTCCTTCACAAGTGATGCGGTTTTGTTTTTATTTTTACTTTTATATTTAGATCCTGCTTGTTCCTCAGAAGCTTAAGGCAGCATCATTGCATTTTCTGTTCCCATTTTTCTCAGAAGCCATGGCTCTATGACAGGGGTCTCCAAATCTGACCACTTCGTGAACTTCAATTCCCAGAAATCCCCAGCCAGCATGACGAATTCTGGGAGTTGAAGTCCACAAGTCTTAAAGTGGCCGTGATTGGAGATGTCTGCTCTGTGAGATAAATTGAGAAGAATAAGTAGCCCCGAGTCCTCTAGTGCAGTGGTTCTCAACCTTTTTAATGCCGCGACCCCAACCGGTCGTAAGTCGAGGACTAAACCGGTTGTAAGTCGAGGACTAAACCGGCCGTAAGTTGAGGACTAAACCGGTCATAAGTCGAGGACTAAACCGATCGTAAGTCGAGGACTACCCAACCGGTCGTAAGTCAAGGACTTTCCCTGCCCGGGAGCGCCGCGCATGCATGGTTCCGCCCCCTGCGCCGGCCGAGGCGTAGCTGGCAAGCGGCAGAGACTGAGCAGGCCGACCACCAGCTGGTCCAGCTCAAGGGAGGTAAGGCACCCGCCGGAAAAGGGGAAAAAAATGGCAGACAGCCTTCCTTGGCGACCCCCATGAAATGGTCGATCGACCCCAAATGGGGTCACGACCCATAGGTTGAGAACCGCTGCTCTAGTGAATTTATGTGGCTGAGGGTAGATTAAATCTGAAGATTCTCCTTTTTTTTTTGATCAAAAGTTTTATTAGTTTATAATATACGATACAATGAAAATACAAAAGTAAATAGCGAAAAAGATGGAGAAGGGAAAAGAGAGTAGAGAAGCGAGGTAAGGGAGAAAAAAAGAAGAAAAGATATTGACTTCTGACTTCCTTCGGTGCAATAGAATATCAACTTCAAACCTCAACTTTTTACTTATACAAAATAATATAAACAAGCCATTTCAATAACATCAAGTCTATCTCACTGGTAAAAACCAAAATCGAAGTTTCATTTTTTTTCCACCTCAAGAAAACTCTCCTCTTAACCACTTCACCTTGCCAACTATCTTAGTTTTTAGATTTATGCGTGCCTCTCATTCAGGTGCTCAAAATGGAACAGGTGGAGCTAGTCCTCTATTTACGACCACAACTGAGCTCAACATTTCCATTGCTAACCAAGACAGTTGTTAAGTAAGTTTTGCCTCAGTTGACGACCTTTCTTGCCACAATTACTACTGCAGTTGTTAAGCTAGTAGTACGTCTGTTAAGTGAATCTGGCTTCCTCGTTGACTTTGCTTGTCAGAAGGTCACAAAAGGGGATCACGTGGCCCCAGGAAATTGTGACTATCATAAATTCTGGCCAGTTGTCAAACATCCAAATTTTGATCAAGTGACCATGGGAATGTTGCAACGATCATAAGTGTGAAGACAGTCATAATTCCCTTTTTTCAGTTCACTGTAACTTTGAACGGTCAATAAACGAATGGTTGAAAGTTGAGGACTACCTGTACACCTGTTCCAAATTTTCCCCCCATCACATCAAAGCAGCCACCCAGGAACATCCTGTGGGGGAAAAAAATCCTTAAAACCCTCCAGAAATGACCATTGTTCTTCGTCCCTCGAGAAGAACAGCTCACCTCTAATAAGTTTCTCCTGATCCTTGATGTACTGCCATTTGGCCATCATTGCTTTCTCAACATCATCCCGAGTAACGATTTCTATTTTTTCAAGCTCCTTCTCCTGTTCTTTCAGGTTCGTCAGCAGAGCTCGGATGTGTTCAATCTGTTCAGATTTGAGATGCTGATTCTGGTGGTGGGATAGAGAAGGCGTACCTTTGATGGTTTGAAAAAGTAAAGCTTGCGAAACTCATTCAGGCGTGGGCAAGCAAAACCCCCACCCAACATCAAAAGCGATTTGGAACAATGTTCATTGTCCTCGGATGGTTCCGATGGAAATAATGGACTCTATTTGTGCTTTATTTATTTATTTATTTATTTAGCAGACAGGATTTACATGGCCGCCTTTCTCACGAATGGGGCATCCAACACCCTGGTTAAAAATCCCATAACTATTTAAAATCAATAAAAATAAATAAATAAACAGAGAAAGTAAACAGAGGAAACCCAAGAACTTAGGACAACAGACTCCTGTAAGTGCAAACGTCACTCCCTTCTGGCACTGATGATGTTACCTGGTTTGGTAATGAAACGTCTACAAGAAAGCCACCAACTTCAGAGAGCATCAAAAACCCCACAGTCGTTGTCCTCCTCCTCCTCCTCCTCCTCCTCCTCCTCCTCCTTCTTTCCGCAAACCCACTCCCTTCTAGCACTGATGATGTTACATGGTTGGGTAATGAAAGATGTGCAAGAAACCCCAACTTCAGAGAGCATCAAGGACCCCACAGAACTCCTGTTTGATTATTTTGCCTTGGTGCAGAAGTATTTTAACCAGTAAGCTGCAGCTCAACTCCAGCCTTACCCCACACGATATGTCACTGCTTCTTTACACAGGATGAACATAACCTTTATTTATTTATCTAGTTTATTTATATAGCCACCCAATATTGTCACTGATTCAATGAACATGGATTTGGGCAAATTCTGGGAGACAGTGGAGGACAGTGGAGGACAGGGGCAAGCAATGCTCCATGGAATTACAAAGAGTCGGATATGATTTAGCACCTAAACAACAAAACAGAGCCACCCATCTCACAAAGACATGACCTTAGATAGTTAAAACCTCCATAACGATTTAAAAACAATCAAAACAAATAAACAAAGTAAATGGATAAGACCCAGGAAACTTGGAGAATGAACAAAACTTCATGTCCTACAATCACCTTGCAGGTTCTCTAGACAGGGCTCTTCAGACTTGGCCCTTTTATGATTTGTGGACTTCAACTCCCAGAATTCCTCAGCTAGGCACGCTGGCTGAGGAATTCTGGGAATTGAAGTCCACAAGTCATAAAAGGGTCAAGTCTGAAGACCCCTGCTCTAGGATCAACAAGGCTAGCGGGGAAAAAAAACACATTTTGTAAAGGCCTTTTGTAAGGCTGACAGAGATGGGGCTAACTTCATCTTGGGAGGCTATGGGTGGGAGATACATACCACCAACTGAAGCTGTGCTACTCACTAAACTAAAAAAATTCCTGTCCTCATTTGTGATCCCTAACCTGCCAAAGACACAATGCAGGGGAATTGTGCTATCTCAGTTTTGCTGGACAAGGTAATTTAAGGACAGGGATTGGTGGATTCTTGGCAGCCCTCCCCCCCCCCCCCCAGAAAATGTCACCACCTGGCAGCAAAACATCTGCCAATCGCTCTGCTCCATGTGGGAAGGCACTGGGGAGGAGGGCAAGATTTTACAAAGAGCTAGATCAGCAGATTTAGCCATCTGTCAAGGTGTTGCTCCCATTTTGTCCAACTGTTTGGCACAAATGCATTCAGACTAGAGAAGGGATGTCCAATCTTGGCAACTTTAAGACCTGTGAACTTCAACTCCCAGAATTCCCCAGCCAGCCTGAAGAACTGAAAAAGCTTCTTGGATGAGAAGCAAAAAGTATTCAAAGAAAACACTAAGAAAGTCCAGTTGCCTTTTGGAAAAAACACTTTTGGGTTAACCTTGGCACAATCCAGAGCATTTCCAATCTCTCCACTTTTAGAAACCTGGAGCCATTGCTGCTTCTCAGAAGCAGTTATTAGAATTTAAAAGCTGGTATGTGAAGAACTGATTCTCAGTTCTATATCAGAGGTCCCCAACCTTTTGAGCACCAGGGACCAGTTCCATGGAGAGAGGTTTTTCCACAGACCGGAGGGTGTGTGATTTTGTGTGCTCCCTGCATTTCACGGATGGGGCTTTGCTTGTTTGTGCAGACCGGTTGCTGGCATGCCGCAGCACGATACTGGTCCACGGACTGGGGATTGGGGACCCCTGTTCTATATTACAAACAGGTGTTTTGTAACTAAGACAGGATCCCTCCTGAACCAGTGGTGGGATTCAGCCGGTTCGTACCAGTTCGGCAGAACCAGTAACTAATTTTTTGTTGCCCCAGGCCGAGAATGGACTTCCGGAAGCGGCATCCACACAGAGAACCGGTTGTTCACATATTTGAATCCCACCACTGTCCTGAATCACAAGGTGGTTTATTTGCTTGCTTACTCTTTCTTTGCTTCTCTCATTCTCTACTTCCAGTTGCTTGATTTCACCGAGAAGCTGATCAATGACCTCTTCCTTAATCTGAATTCTGAAGGTAATTAAAGACAAAAATAAGCTGTCACGCTTTCAGAAAACAAAAGCTCTCTTTGCAAGCAAACATAGAATACAAGTGGGAGAAACAGGTCGAACATTTGAATTCTTTGCTTCAGGTTTTATTTAAAGGACTGCAGTGAAACCTTGATTCAGTGAATGTTGACGCAACAGACCGAAATCCTAATTTGTGTGATCATTTTACCACAATGTTTATCATTTGCAGAATGCAAATGAAATTGAGCGACACAAATGAGGTTATTTGCATTGCCACATACTGATTGAAATGGACAATTGAGAGTAATGGCTGCCCTGTCATCCCAACGGGTCTGTTAAGCCAGATTTTACTGTGACTAAAGTGGAACATAATCTCATTTGCAAAACACTTTTTCTGCCAACTGATTAATCTCCGTGAGCTGAAAGCACACATTTAGTGATGATTTAATCAAGCATTTAACAACTATTTTTGCAGATTTTCCCATTATTGTATCCCAAAGAAGCTGACAGCTAACAGTTCCTATCCCATTTCTTGGTAGTTTTATGCAGAATGAGGAAAAAATAAGATAAATCAACCATGCACTCCCAAAGTGAACATAATTGTGGGAAGAACCGTTTTCTGCTGCTTTTTCACTCCTCAGTGTATTAAAGCAGGGGTCCCCAAACTTGACAACTTTAAGTATTGTGGACTTCAACTCCCAGAATGGCTGGCTAAGAAATTCTGGAAATTTAAGTCCACATGTGGCAACTGAGATGTAGTTCCTAGTAGGGCATTGTTTTGTGTGTACCCTCTAGTGATCATGAAGTTTGGGTTTGATCATGGATCTAGAGTTTCATCATGGAGGGGACAGAATTAATTAACCCAGTGGCCAGCAATGGCAACTGAGATGTAGTTCCTAGCAGGGCCCTGCTTTGTGTGTACCATCTAGGTCTAGGACTTGAAGTGATCATGGAGGGGTAACATTAGTTAACCCAGTGGTCAACTGGGGAATAAATTTAACACAGTCTAGACTGGAGCTAAATCTAATCAGGTTCAATGGTTATTCAGTTGAATCTTTGACTCTGCTTATTTATTTACAGGTCAACACTCTATGCCTGTTGAGTCTCTTGGACAGCGAGACAAAATATTATAGAAAAATAATTTTCAAACCTTTTCAGGCTGTGAGAATAATTAGACAAAAAGTAATCACAGAATCCTCAACCAGGAGGCAAAGCTCTAAAAAAAATGGGCTACGTTTTGAGTGAACCTTTCTCTCTCTTGGTCTCTTATGAAATTCCATCAAGTTCATGTGAAACCTTTAGGTTCCCTGCTGTAGTGAATATATTTCCCAGAACATGGGCTGATTTATTTGTTACCAAACAGTAAAGTCATTATGAAAAAATGCCAGTGACTACCGTATATCAAGTGCAAGCTCTATTTTTAACTGTCAAGAGTTTAAATTTTGTGCATTTTTTCTCCTGCCTGCTCTATGTAAAGGCTACCAGTGATTTTGGATAAGAGAAACAATTTCCATCATTCTGTGTGAACTACATTTTATAATTCCCCCTTCCCCTTAACACTCCCCTGTTAAATGTTGCATACACGTTGGCTCTCTAAATTAAAATATTTACTCTTAACTTCAAAGCAGTTTATTATCTTCCTGTATATTCTGCTGATTTATAATTTGGCTTTCCTGCAATTAGATTTCCGCTCTGTTCCATTGGTTGAAAAAGCAGTCTTAGACTAAACTTTGCATAATAAACCTGGTTTTGAATTGTCATTCTTATTTTTGACTGGTTTGGAAGCTTACACGCCACAATTCCTTCTACCCATTAAGTCTGGACTCTTGGAGAAAACATGGGATATAAACCTAACTGATAAATAATGGAAATACATCAAAAGATAACTTGGGGGAATTCTCACTAACAGCTCAAGGAAAGCTTAGCACAGAAATGTAATTGACTATCAAACAATAAAGTAATCCTGGAAAATGGTAGATGGGAGAAGACAAAATTTAATGAAATGTTCTACAAGAAGGCATGGAAGAATGGAAAGAATCATGAGCAGGAACAATTGTAACATGTTCCTGCTCATGATTCTTTCCATTCTTCCATGCCTTCTTGTAGAACATTTCATTAAATTTTGTCTTCTCCCATCTACCATTTTCCAGGATTACTTTATTGTTTGATAGTCAATTACATTTCTGTGCTAAGCTTTCCTTGAGCTGTTAGTGACCAATAACTGAACCAATAACTGACTGAAAAAAGTAGAGATAGTCCTTGACTTACAACTGTTAACTTAGCAACTATTCAAAGTTATGATGGATCCTGAAAAAAACCACTTATGACTCGGATTCAAAGTTCTGACAGCCGCCCACCCTCCCTCTAGTCACGTGACGACATTTTGGATGCTTGACAACAGGTCTGACTGTTTGCAGCATCCCACAGTCATTATGATATTTTGCAGTGGGGTTGGACTAGAAGACCTCAAAGGTCCCCTCCAACTCTGTTATTTTGATAGTTTTTAAAAACAGCAGAAAATGGAATGTTTTTTTATTGTGTTCAGTCATTGTAAATCCTGCGTTTTACAATGGTTTTTTGCTGGAAGAATGTATTTTTTTGCCAGTAAAAATGTTTTTTTTTTTTAAATTCTGTAAAAGTAAATAATTAGTATTTACTTTTAGCATCTGGCAAAAAAACACCCATTGGATAGAATCGGTTCACTTAACAACCATCATATTCATTTAAGGACTGTTGCATTTGTTTAATAACTATGGCATAATGGCTAAAGTGTTTGTTTCATGACCACTGGAAAAAACAAACAAACAAAACCCCATGACTTGAGCAACTATAATTCCAGGCTCAGTTACAGTCGTAAATTGAGGATTACCTCTATAGATCTACTCCTGCCATTCTATAAGTTCAACTGGATAGAGAATAGTAGTATTGCTATCCCACAAATAGGCAGTCAGTTCACTAAATAGAGCTAAAGTAAAATTTTGAATTTTTACGACTTATACATACTGAAATGCCAACAGGGCTTCTGGAAAATAGGTTCTAGGCTCTTTGGAAATTTGTGAGATCCCTTTTTTCTTCTTATCCTTCTTCTTTTCCTTTGCCATGGCTTATGTCTTTGTGAGGTCAAACAAATCTAGAGGTCAAGAAAGATAATAAATTAAGACAGTACGTAAGCAGTGGGGCTGGTGATTCCAACACAATCCTACTGAGATTTCTGAGAAATCTTTTCTACTATTACTACTGATTTCCTGAGGATGAGGTACAGACTGCAGCCTAAATAATTATTTATTTAGCTTTCCTCGTTATCTTTAGAACAGTTCTAGGAGAAAGACCTATTTATAAATTGAAAGCTACGTTTTGGAAATGTTTATGGAGATTCTCAGTCCTCCAGGTCATGACTGTCCCAACAGTGCTTTCTCAAAAGGCAACTGGACTTTCTTGGTTTTTCCTTGAAGACTTTTCACTTCTCATCCAAGAAGCACCTTCAGTTCTTTTTCAGAACTGAAGAACCTTCTTGGATGAGAAGCGAAACATTTTCAAGGGTAAAAAAAACAAAACCCAAGAAAATTCCAGTTGTCTTTTGAAAAAAGCACTTTTCGGATACGTTTTGGAAAGCAAATCTCCAGCGGGTGCAAACTTTAATTATTACAGCTTGGGTTGAATAAACATTTGCAACCCATTTTAATCAAAGGAGTTGAATAAAAAAAGGAAAAAAGTGATAAAGTACAGGTAGTCCTCGACTTACAACAGTTCGCCTAGTGACTGTTCGAAGTTACAATGGCACTGAAAAAAGTGCCCCCCAAGCCACAGCCAAGCAAGTCAACGCCCGGCGGCGCTCTTCCTCCTGTCCGAGGTTTTCATTGTTGTGAGCATTTCTGTTGATGATTGGCAGCGGGGGTGGGGTGGGGGGGGTGTTTGGTTTTTATTCCCCCCGTCTGCTAGGTGGTTGCAGCAGGTTTTGGTCACTTCACATGACCCTGGGACACTGTGACTGTCATAAATATGAATCAGTTGCCAAGCATCTGAATGTAAATCACAAGACCCTGGAGAGGCTGCAACATTCCAGCTGATCAGCGCTTCTTCTGGGCTCAGCAGAAGTGCCAGGATCAGTGCTGCTTTCCAGCTGATGGGCGCTTCTTCAGGGCTCAGCAAAAGCACCAGGATCAGTGCCCAGCTCCAGCTGGAGCCTGGCGCTGATCCTGGCGCTTCCGCTGAGCCCTGACAGCCCTGCAGCTCCAGCCATCTCTCGCTCAGGCTTGCGGTGCTGCCACCGGTTCAGCTCATTCCCCTCCCCCACTACCACTTTTCTAGGATGGTCGCATACCACCTGCCAGGTGTCAATGTACCACAGGTGGTACCCGTACCACTGGTTGAAAAGCCCTGGACTAGAAGACCTCCAAGGTCCCTTCCAACTCTGTTATTCTGTTCTGTTTTGTTCTTCTTCTCAATCCTTAAGAAATCCATTTAATGATTTCAGAATGCTCTGGGTTTTTAAAGTAGAAAAAACATATCTTGGCTGTTGTTCCCAGTTCTTTATTTACGCTAAAAAGCAAACCAAAACTCAAACACAAACCCTGTTTCTGGAATTGAGATACGCTCCCCTTTAAAAAAAATATTTTTTTCCAATTAGAAATGATCGTGTTGTGTGTCAAAAGCAATCATGATTCTTCCAGATGACAATCAAAAATAAGGGAATGGAATGTGCTACAAATATCTTTGCTCGCCCCAAATACCACAGTTATGGCGTTTGCTGTCCAAGTGTGATTGTCCCCTGAAGAATTCCAAAATGTGGAACATATGGCAACACTTTAATAAAATAACATAGTACAAATATTACTTCACGAACAGTACAGCATTTTATTAGAACACACTGTAAAGTATTCAATGCATTTATTTCATGTAATGTTTTTAATTAGGTAAGCAGTTTTATGAGAAACATCCAGATTTGGTCAGCCTTACCCAGGCCTAGTCCCTCTAAAATTAAAAGAATTTGAGGCACATGTTATAATTTAACTGTATGTAATTTAACTATATAATATACTGTAACTGTGAGAGGGACCTTGGAGTCCTAGTGGACGATCACTTGACTATGAGCCAGCGGTGTGCAGCAGCAACTAAAAAAGCTAATACAATCCTGGGTTGTATAAACAGAGGGATAGAATCAAGATCACACGAAGTGTTAGTACCGCTTTATAAAACCCTAGTAAGACCACACCTGGAATACTGCAACCAATTTTGGTCACCATACTACAAAAAAGATGTTGAGATCTTGGAAAAAGATCAGAGAAGAGCAACTAAAATGATCAAAGGCCTGGAGACTAAAACATATCAAGAACGGCTGCAGGACTTGAGTTTGGCTAGTCTAAAGAAAAGAAGAAACAGGGGCGACATGCTAGCAGCATTCCAGTATTTGAGGGGCTACCACAAAGAAGAGGGAGTCAAGCTATTCTCCAAAACACCAGAAAGCAAGACAAGAAACAATGATTGGAAACTAACCAAAGAGAGAAGCAACTTGGAATTAAGGAGAAAATTCCTAACAATGAGGAACAACTTGCATTCAGAAACTGTGGGCTCCATCACTGGAGGTTTTTAAGAAGGGATAGACAGTCACTTGTCTGAAATGGTATAGGTTCGAGCAGGGGCTGACTAGAAAACCTCCAAGATCTCTTCCAGCTTCTATTCTATTCTATTCTATTCTATTTTCTATTCTATTCTAGTTCTGTTCTATATTCTGTTCTATTCTAGTTCTGTTCTGTTATTTCTGTTCTGTTCTATTTCTATTTGTATTCTGTTCTATTCTAATTCTATTCTATTCTATTGTTGAAAGAAAAATTTTCATCAGGGTCCAGTCCAAGCAGGGAATAAATACAATGGAGACTGCTTTAGAAAGAAGATTGTAGTTTATTGAAGAGCAAAGCCAGACAGAAGCATGGCTCTGGGAAAGCTGACCACATGTTGCTGGGAGTGGTGGGTTTTTTATACCTTCTTGGGCTATTCTATTCTATTCTATTCTATTCTATTCTATTCTATTCTATTCTATTCTATTCTATTCTATTCTATTCTATTCTATTCTTTATTGTCTCATTGCATTCAGTATATCTCACAAATAACTTAGCTTGCATGCTGCTATTCCAGGCAGCAATCAGAAGACATTTTAAATATAGAAGAGAATGAAAAGAACTGAGATAAGAACAAGAAATTTTTCCTTTAAACAGGAATTAGGTTGCTTCAGGTTTTGCATGAAGAACGAAAGAAAGAAAGAAAGAAAGAAAGGAAGGAAGGAAGGAAGGAAGGAAGGAAGGAAGGAAGGGGAACAGACAAAAGAAAGACAGGAAGAATGGAAAGAAGGGGAAAGTGAGCATGAAAGAAGAAGGAAAGAAGATAAGAAAGAAGGAAGGAAAAGGGGAAGAGGAAGGGACAAAAGAAAAAAGAGAAAGTAGGAAAAGAGGATGGATGGATGATGGAAGGAAGAAGAAAGAGAAAGGGGAAGGAGGGAGGGAGACAGACAAAAGGAAGACAGGAAGAGTGGAAAGGGGAAAGGTAGAAGTGAGCAAGAAAGAGGGAGGAAGGAAAGAAGATAAGAAGGAACGAAGGAAAAGGAGAAGTGACAAAAGAAAGAAGAGAAAGGAAGGAAAGAGGATGGAAGGAAGAAGAAAGAGAAAGGGGAAGGAAGGAAGGAAGGAAGGAAGGAAGGAAGGAAGGAGAAAGGGAGACAGACAAAAGGAAGACAGGAAGAGTGGAAAGGAGAAAGGTAGAAGAGAGAGGAAGGAAAGAAGATAAGAAGGAAGGAAGGAAGGAAGGAAAAGGGGAAGGGACAAAAGAAAGAAGAGAAAGGAAGGAAAGAGGATGGATGATGGAAGGAAGAAGAAAGAGAAAGGGGAAGGAAGGAAGGAAGGAAGGAAGGAAGGAAGGAAGGAAGGAAGGAAGGAAGGGACTTTTGCCACCCTTCCTCCCATCTCCCTTTCCCATTCCCAATGCAGGCGCCCACCGAACCTTCCCTCCTGCTCAGCAGCGCCGCCCTCCCGCCCTGCAGGGGAACCGCCTTACCCAATTTCTCCTTCTTGGAGGAAGATGGGAGGGGGGAATTCTGCTTCCAGCTGCTGCCTTTTGATTGGCTGCCACTGCAAACTTTGCTAGTTGCCGGGTAACTGCGCTAAGATAGTCCAAGGAGCGTACGGTCGGTCTCTTCCAGCGTGTCCTTCTTCTTTTGATCGGGAGAACGGCTCCCTCTTGTGTCACTGTTTAAAAACTGCAGTCAATTAGACGCTAATGAAGAAAGTTACGGGCTGGTTAAAAAAAAAAGTCTTATTTTTTAATTTGGTCTTCAAAAACGGAGTCATTGCTTTTGTTTCCTCTGAATAAAAACAGTGACCTTAAAATATTTTCTTGGAAATAAAATAAAGAACAAACCTGAAAAAGAGGCAAATTTGAAAGAGGTTCACAAGGATAACAAATGTTTATATAACGTACCTTACAAAGGAAAATTCAAGAGCAAAATCAAGAAAAGAATTAAAACTCTAGAGGACTGCTTTCTGAAATAAAGAACTATCCTTTGTAATAAATGATATATGGTTGCTGTTCTCTATATGTACATATTCCAATATGTCCATGTAATTAATTTTTTCTCTTTTATACAGCTTTTATTGGCTCATTATTTTTATTGTGTTTCGGTGCATTTTCCTTTCTTTTGTAGTTAAATCAATTTTTTAAAAAAACAGCCTTGAAAAAAAAACTCAAAGGACAAGAGATACCAGGATTCTGGATGACTCTCTATCAACCACCTGAACAATTTTAATTTTTTAATCATTTCCCTTTGGCTCATTTGCTACAGTGCTTTAATTTCTGCTTCAACAATTTAAGGGTATTTTTTTTTTAGAAATTTTAATTCTACCCTTTTGCAGATAATAGCTTGATAACAAATTTTACTTTATAAAGGAAGGAATGGAAGCAAGGAGAAAGGCAGAAGGAAGGAAGGAAGGAAGGAAGGAAGGAAGGAAGGAAGGAAGGAAGGAAGGAAGGAAGGAAGGAAGGAAGGAAGGAAGGGAGATCTCCCCAGAAATAAATTGTGAAGGCAAATATCTACTCTTGCCAGATTATTTATTTA